CTCTTAGAGCTGTGCCCTCCGGGCCAGCTTCCCCCAGCAAAGGAGAGCCGGGGGCGGGGGAGAGGGAGTACACGCTGTCCCCCTCCTCCCAGGGATGCTCCCTGGCAGGGGTCTCTTGGTCCGATGGGGAAGATGATGCACTGGAGGCCTCCCCCAATCCCCACCCTCGGGGGACCCTGGCATCTCTGTGCCTGCCGGGTTCAGGACAGGCCCGTGCGAGCCGCCTCCCGTGCTAGGCAGGCCTCGGGCCCCGTTTGAGAGACGCCTGGGTGACCACCAGGGGGCTAGCTGCCAGCAGCAGGGTCCCGCTTGGAAACCTCAGAAGCCCCACTCCGGGGTTGCCATGCAGGTCGCTCCGCAGCGAGGGACAGCTTCCGCCTTTGGGGGCTAAGTGGGCCCCTCCCTCGCCATCCCAGGGGGCTGCGACGCTGGCGGGCACCTTGCTGGCCCTCTTCCACAAAAGGGGTGTCGGATTCGCCTCCCCCGGGCCCTTCAGACAATCCTCTCGGCATCCACATTCGGCCAGCAGGTGGAAAGGGCCGCCAGTGGTCATCTCCCACCCACCCCACCTCCACACACAGTGCCTTTGGGGGCTAAGTGGGCTCCTCCAGAAGAGATGGTGAGGCCCCTCCCTCGCCATCCCAGGGGGCTGAGACGCTGGCGGGCGCCTTGCTGGCCCTCTTCCGCGAAAGGGGTGTCGGATTCGCCTCCCCCGGGCCCTTCAGACAATCCTCTCGGCATCCACATTCGGCCAGCAGGTGGAAAGGGCCGCCAGTGGTCATCTCCCACCCACCCCACCTCCACACACAGAGGCAAAGGGGAAAAAGGGGCTTGCGTCTGAATACGAGGGCAGAAAAGGAGGCGCTGGTGGAGCACAGGAGAGGAGACGTGCGCGAGGACGGCAGGACCACCAGCACCGAGGAAAGGCACAAAGTTGACAGTTGGTGGGCAAGCACACCTGAGCCAGGAGGAGCCAGCAATGCCCCGCCCCGCCCCGCCCCACTCCGAAGGGGGGTACCCAGGAAGAAGGAAGGAAGGAAGGAACTTGGGAGACCCGAAACTCCGTATCTGCCACCTTGGTCCATTTCTGCTCCTGGTCCATCTCTTCTCTTCTGCCTGTGTCCACCTCTTGCCCACGGCTTGAATGCTCTCCTCTTAGTAGTCCTTCCTTCCCCCCCTCATCCCCCCCCCGCTGCAGGGAGGGCCCATAGCTTTCCTGGGAGGAAACTATAGGGAGCCCCTCCTATTTCCGCTCTGCATCTCCTTCCCAGCCCTTGATCCCGGGCCATCTAGACGGGCCGGTTCAGCCGACGTAAGCCTTGCCGGCTGGGGCTCCCCACTGTGGCCACAGAGAGTGGGGTCACTTGGGTTGTGTGAGCCCAGATTCCCAAGCCTGCATGATCTGAGAGGTCAGGAAGACCTGGGAAGAAAAGAGCCACTACGAAGCCACCGGCCAGGGGGTTTGGGTGACGGCTGAATGGCTTTCGGGAGGGAGGGGCTGCCAGGCCGACGCTATGGCACTGGGCATGGACCAGGCACTCCCAGCCCTCCAGGGAGGCCTGTGTGGCAAGGGGAGGCTCCAGGGCCAGGCGCTCCCACCTCCCCCCCCCCAGCGGCACCCGGGGCTGCCCCAATTCATCTGGCTGCCCAACAAGAGGACAGGGCAAGGGGAGGCCCCCTCAGTTCCCCGGCAGGCGTTGAGTGGACGGGGCCTCCCTTCACTGCTGGCGGAAAAGAGCGTCTTCCCCGATGCCAAGGTTGGCCAGGGCTTGGTGGCAGTTCCTGGGGGAGTGGGAAGGCTTTTCCCCGCTGCCCCCCAGCCGCCTGAGGTGCGTGCCTCCCCCTCTCTGGCTACGGGGCTGGCCCTCCCTGCCTCCTGCCCTCCCTCTGTGCAGCACCTTTGGGGGGGGTTGCAGGGGTGTGCTGACTGTGGCTGTGCCCTTTTAGGCCTTCTGTCCCCAAAGGGTGTGTATGTGGGGGGGGGATGCTGCCGCCACTGCCTCTGTCCATCCGTCCGTCTCACCCTCCACGGATTCAAACCCACTTGCTCCTCTTCCCTTGCTTCCAACGTCCACTGCTCGCTTCCTTCCCTCTCTTCCCACATAATGCGGCACAACCTCACTCAAAGCTGGGATGTGGGGACTGAGGGGTCCCTTCCTTCCTTCCTTCCTTCCTTCCTTCCTTCCTTCCTTCCTTCCTTCCTTCCTTCCTTCAGGGCTAATGTGTGTGGGG